GCAAATGAAATAGTTATGAATGAAGCTTAAGACGATTACATTGTCAACTTCACCTAGGTGAAAGGGCCCTAAACCTTTCCTTCATAGCTACTTCATCTCTTACCTTTTAACTTAAACAAAATTTGAAAATTGACATCCATTTCTTACTTCACTTACATTAAACCGTGTGAGTTATCCTAATTCAATTCAATGCTAGATAATGAGTGAGACTTAGAATCCGTATAGCACAGCTACAAAAGGAGGTTTGCCCTAAACTAACATCTCAAAAGTCTCAGATTGGCTACAAAGAGCTTACTTAAAAACTCTAAACTTGGTTATTTGCTACCTCAAACCCATCGACATATATAATTCACGAATAAGAACACTATTATTAACTTGACTGGTTCATGCTACGTATAGGGATTAGCATTTATCATTTAAAATTATTACACACAATAAGGAGGTTCCATGACCTAGCATGCTTTAACAAGGCACGTCTTAGGGGAAGTGACAAGCCCGACCCGATTATGATTTCATGATTAACATGAGCAAACTCAAACTAAAAAATAATTTATTACATCGTTACTCTAATAATAATTAATTCGTATACAGTGTTGGTACTCCAAAAATATCTTACTACACTTTTCGTGTAACTTAACTCATATCATTATAAATTATGCAAGCTAAACTACGCATGAAAAGTTCATCAAAAAAAAAAAAAAATCCACGCGTGAAGATTCAATCGGCTATCCCACAACGGTGGGTGCAAAGAAGAATAAAGAATTTAAATATGATTACTCAATTCTAACTAACATCTAAGTCTTTTATAATAAAATTTTACACCTAATAGAATGAACATGTAGTAATTACCAAATTAAGTACAGTTTCGAAGTCGCTTGAGTGAACCCCCGGGTAAACGTGCAAAGAGTCGGCCTCCAAAACAGCTTTCAGCTTTTTTCATCTAGGGTTTCGTAAGTGGGTTTGAGTTTTTGACATTTTCACTGTTGTTGGGTCAACAGAAGAAACGACACAGATTCGGTGATGGGCCCCACTTCTCCCCCAGACGTGTTACGTCCCCATGCCCATTATCCGGTAACCCATCCCATCATCTCACTGACAAGTTTACAGCGCAGCAGTATGGGTGGGGACCATCCCTTACAACCATCTTCCGTTTGATGCTCGCCACGTGTTGCAAACGAACCCCGCGTTAATGAGGTTGAAGAAATACATGTCGTAGCAGTCTCCGGCAGCGGCAACGACTGATGCTCTGGGCTGTTGCGACGAGTTGCTTGTGAAGCTGCTTCTTGTCAGTTGTCGGTGTTAATGCTTTTACTTGCTGCCAATCAGTCAAAGGGTTAAAACCAAAAATAACACCTCACTCCTTAATTGATATTATCACAAAATGGTAATTCACTGTATTTTTTATTTATAAATCCATGTTTTTACATCTATATTATACTTAATAACTCACTAAATTTCAATACATGCTAAACATAAAATAAGTGTCAATTTTTAAATTTTGCCTAAATCAAAGGAAGATGATGAAATAATTTTAAACTAAGCTTAACACGATTACATTGTCAATTTCACCTAGGTGAATGAAAGGGCTCTAAACCTTTTCTTCATAACTACTCCATCTCTTACATTTTAACTTAAACACAATTTGAAAATTGACATCCATTTCTAACTTCAACATACATTAAATCATGTGAGTTATCCTAATTCAATTCAACGCTAGATAATGAGCAAGACTTAGAATCCTTATAGCTCGGCTACAAAGGAGTCTTGCCCTAAACCAATGTCTCAAACATCTCACTTTGGCAGACTTGAGCATTATCTAGCACATTGATTAATAACAACTTATCTCCCCCAAACACCTCTTAATTTATGTGAATTACAAGAAAAGTTTTCCTTCCATTATTACTATAGAAAACGAGCTAGCTTTCCTCACTAGTGAACTGATTTCCTAGCAAGAAGTATTGCATTTCGACTTTTTGAGCATTTGTGATCACATCACAATGCAACTTAACGAATTCCATCGAAATCGCAACAAGTAATCGTTGAATCCTCATCACCCCTCGATGCCATATAAATTATAACGTTAATTGCGTGTTGGAAAGTCCTTCTCAAAGACCCCCAATTAATTAGGAACTTGTGTTGTGAACTTGTGTTGTGGCATATATGGAAGAGCAAGAAACTTGGCCGACCACATATATATATATATATATATATATATATATATATATATATATGAGAGGCCAATTAATTAAAATAATAAATTGTGGGGGTCGAGTCGTGTAGTTTGTTGAGAAAGAGGTTTAGGGTTTGATGGGTTTTGACAAAATTGTAGTTGTCAGTGTTTGCATCTCCTCCAACTAACTGTTCGTGTCCATTTGTAGAACATATGTCTGGTAGGTGTTAACTGTTCGTGTCCATTTAGTGGTCACTTTCTACGTCTACTTTTAACAGTTTTGGTTCTCAAAAATGTCTGCTCGGTGTTTATCAAATTGGAGGCAATTTGATGGTAATTTGAGATTAGGATGATGAGTTTGTAACCCTTATTCAGTTGGGCATGGTTCCCATTTTTCAGTAAGATTAATCCATGCACGGAAAATTATAATGGGGCACAACTCAATATCAAATTCACTCTAAATATATCGTTCTCACATCCATCTGAGTCAAATTTAAGATCTCATCTATAACTAAGTAAAGACCGAATGCTGCTAAACCAACTTATCATACGCACTATTCATGGTTTTGATTAATATACTAAATTGTGTTTTGATAAGAGAAGGGTATATATATCCTTCAATAAGACGGACCGAAGTGATTAGCAGAATGATTTGGCTTTTCTTTATATCCCATTCCATTATCATATTAATTTGTCCTAGTGTCTCAATATCGCTTTTTGATACATTATCAAGTCCACTTTCTAATCCAAAATTAATCCCATTAATTTTTTGCCATAATCTCCTATCAATATCAAATTTAGTATTCTTGTATCATGACTTTGCTACAATCCAAATGCCAATTCTAATCAATTCTCTCTTGTTTTCTCGTAATTATATATGATATATGGAGTTTCTAGCAAACAAGCCAATAGTATATTTGCTAGTATTGTATATATAAAGCACTAAACCTTAAACAAAAAAAATTTCAAAACGTGGACGAAATATCCATAACAGTTTGCTAATGAGGGGTTGGTTGAGTTGGTAAGGATTATCCTCTTCGCTAGACTAAGGCCTAGGTTCGAGTTGTGCTGCCCACAATTCCTCATGGTGGCCGATCTTTAAAAACCAAAAAAAGGGCTAAGACCCCCTGTAAGTCTTCAAAGAGGTTTATGGCATGCCCTGACCTTGGGATGGGATAGCCTCCCCTACTTTTAAACTTTTCCCCACAAAAAAAAAAAAATATATATATATATATTATCCATAAGAGTTTAGACATTTATTTTGGGGGTAAATTGAATTAGACGAACTGTTGGTGAAGTACCCTAAAATATTAGGGCAACTCCATCTTATTTTAACTTAATTAATCTCTCAACTCTTATCCGTCATTCTCACTCTTTTTTTTTTATTTTTTTTTATTTTTAACGAACGATATTATCTGCATTAACGTGGTTCAAATTTATCTTTGACGAGAATCGAACGTAAAAGTTCTCACATACAAATGAGGAGTAATACTAATAGACCGTACCAAGTGACTTCTATTTCAACAGTAACATGCATATCCAATAAGAGTTTGATTTCCCTTTTTTTATACAAATCCATTTTTCCAAAATTGTTTATCATGTTCTTATCTTTAGAATCAAATAGTACGACAAGATCATCATGCCTAGGAGCAAAAAAAGGAACACAAATAACAACCAGTGAATACTGTTGGGAGTTGACTATGACCTACTGATCACGAACAACATATGGTTTGTTGTGCAAACTAAACCGTAGTTAGTTTGTTAACCATGGTTAAGCCCAAAGAGTTAGGGCATCGGACAAATTAAACTTGATTATGGTCCACATAAGTTGGTTAAAACCATTGCCTTGATTTCAGAATTGTGCATGAAACTCGCACTGTGTTTTAACAATTTTGAGACATATGCGCAAACTCAATTTCTAAGCACATTTAAATTAATTAGTAAATATTTTTTGTAAATTTATCCATCCATTACTCGATTTTTTTTTCTTCAAATTTGCCCGGCACTCTCGCAACAATGTTGGTTTTTAGCAATTTTTCTGGTCATGTACGTTGGGAAAAAGAGTTGGTAGAAGTAAACACTTATTACTTTTACTCCAACAGTCCAACTTTTCCTATCTTTTTGCGCACAAACTTTGACCAACATTTTGGTGAAATAACATTGTCAAAACGAAGAACGATTTTTTCGGATATTGTACTACTTAATTCCGCAGATTTTACTGAATTATGGATGGATTGATGACACATATTCTCTTATGTGTTAAGGAGATTTTGTGACCAAAGAAATCTAAAAACACACTAATAATTAATAAGGAAAAAATATTTGTTCAGTTTCTCTCAACTTTGACTTGGGTTTTTCATGCCTTTCGAATTGTGTTTTGTGACCTAGACATAAAATAAATGGCCTTGATTTTTGTGGGGAAGCCTTCTCTTAATGCATGAACTAAAAATAATTGGAATGCTTAGTGCCACTTAATTGGCTTGCTTTGTTTAATGCATGGCCACGAGCCTTGTGCCTTCCAAGCGAGATTGATTTTTATTTGCTCATGTATCATCAACATACATAGAAAATAAAAGCGTAATATATTTTTGTAATCGTTACATGATGTAATTAGTTTATTAATTGATATTATATTATAAATTCATGATATATTAACATTGACCCGATCATCATCTCATACTATGAAACGTTAATTAGTAACATCAGCTGATAGAATGTCCGGCTACACCAAAAAACTTCTTAGAAATAAAATAGAACAAATTTTAAAGAATCATGGGCAGTGAAATTATGAAAGAAACAAAAATATTAAAGAAAAAGAAAGAGAAAGGGAATTCACCTGAAATTCGGCGAAGGCAGTTGGACTATTGCGATCCGAAACCATCGAAAAGATTACGCAAATCTCCGGCCCCGCGACACTGAAATATTAAAAAAAAAATCAATATAAAAAGGGTGGCTTTGCGTTTCGGAATGTGTCTCTTGTCGTCTAAATCTCTCTTCTCTTTACACACACTCCCAGTCTGCTCTGGTCGGCAACGAAGCTTCAGCCTCGGCACCTTCCAACAGTAACAACTGCCTCCTTTTTCACCCTTCTTCTGCGTTCACTGTTGTTGTTGTTGTTGTTTTGTGTGTCTGAGAAAACCCAGTTCAGTTTTCTTAAGAGAGAGACAGGAGAGAGAGAGCCACACCAACCCCCTTGGTTTTGTCTCTCATATCTCAGCTTGTTCTGAAAAAACAGGTCAATTACATGCACTTGTCGTCTCTCTTTGATCTAAATTTTCTGCTGTTGTTTCTGAAACTGTTGATCTTTTTGGTGTTTATTCATAATCCCAGAAATTATACTTATAAATGACCTGAATTTTTCATTGATGACTCAATCAAGGTTGAAACTTTTCTTCTGTAGTTGTCAGTTGTGTTTTGTAATTTTAAGTTTTCACAATTTTGGTGTAGAAAAAGTTTGGGTTTTCCCTTGGCGGTAATATATCTGACTTGATTATTGTTTTTCTGTAAATTTTATGTGTTTCAGCCGCATTTTGTTGTGGAAAGCAATAGGACATAAAAGGATTTATTTTTATGCTTTGGAGGGACACAGACTCATCGGTTGTTTGACACAATGATTACAGTTATGGATTCTGTGAGAGAACCTTTGAGGAGCAACTCAGAGAAATGGTTGGACTCTCAATTCTGGCATGCCTGTGCCGGCGGCATGGTTCAATTGCCGCCCATTAACACGAAAGTCTTCTACTTTCCTCAGGGCCATGCTGAGTACGCCCACGGGAGAGTAGATTTTGGGAATTCCAGAATTCCACCGCTCATTCTCTCCAAGATATCTGCCATTAGATACATGGCAGATCCCGAAACAGATGAGGTTTTTGCGAAAATGAGGCTGATTCCGGTGAGAGACGGTGGTTTTGATCTTGAGGATGATGGGTTTGTGGGAAACAATGGTACAGTTGAGAATCCTGAGAAACCCACCTCTTTTGCAAAGACATTGACCCAATCGGATGCTAACAATGGGGGAGGCTTCTCTGTGCCTCGTTACTGTGCGGAGACTATCTTCCCGCGCTTGGATTACTCGGCTGAGCCACCAGTTCAGAACATTCTTGCAAAGGATGTGCACGGAGAGATTTGGGATTTTAGGCATATTTATAGAGGCACTCCTCGGCGTCACCTTTTGACAACGGGCTGGAGTAATTTTGTGAACCACAAGAAGCTTGTTGCTGGGGATTCAATTGTGTTTTTCAGAGCGGAAAATGGGGATCTTTGTGTTGGGGTTAGAAGGGCTAAGAGGGGAATTGGCAGTGGACCTGAATACGCATCTGGAAATTCTGGCTCTCAATATGGGGTTTATTCTGGCTTGTCAAGGAAGAATGGCAATAAAGTGATGGAAAAGACTTGTAGTGGTGATGCGAACGGAAAAATCAGGGCTGAATATGTTATAGAAGCTGCAACTCTTGCTGCCAGTGGCCAGCCCTTTGAGGTTGCGTACTATCCCCGTGCAAGCACACCGGAATTTTGTGTTAAGGCCTCAGCTGTGAGAGCTGCAATGCAAGTACGGTGGTGCTCAGGAATGAGGTTCAAAATGCCCTTTGAAACTGAGGATTCTTCTCGGATAAGCTGGTTCATGGGAACCATATCTTCTGTTCAGGTTGCAGATCCCATCTGTTGGCCCGAGTCTCCATGGCGTCTTCTACAGGTTGGTTACATACCTACTCCATAGTTTTTATCATATTGAGTTTAACCTTGCAAAACTTGCATGTAATTCATCTTCACTACTACTTCCCAAACTATTGTTAAATCGTCATCCTATAACATAAATGTGCATCTGTGGTATTCAATAGATACCTTTTTTAGTAAGTAAAATTCTGTAACTTTGTGAGTAGATTGTATTTATACATTCAAGTTTTAGTAGAACAGAAATATGAAATTATCATTTGTTGGACATTAAATGAAAGATTGTTTTTCAGGTTTCATGGGATGAACCAGATCTGCTCCAAAATGTGAAACGTGTTAGCCCGTGGTTGGTTGAATTGGTATCGAGCATACCAGCCATCCATCTCTCCCCATTCTCGTCTCCAAGAAAGAAGTTGCGGCTTCAACATATCCCAGACTATTCCCTTGTTGGACAACTTCCCATGCCATCAGTTTGTAGCAACTCCCTAAATTCGAGCAACCTCTTATGTAATGTATCGGACAACCTATCTGCCATCATACAGGGAGCCAGGCATGCTCAGTTTGGACTATCTTCATCGGAGCTCTTCTTCAACAAACTGCAATCGAGTTTGTTTCCAATTGGTTTTCAACAACATGGTCACTTTGCGCCTCTTGAAACCATTGGGGGCAGCTTCATGCGCAAGGCTGAAAGCAATGATAATATCTCGTGTTGTCTGAAAAAGGGAATTCCCACCCCAAATTTGAAGGATAATGATGAGATAAAGACACCTCACATAGTATTATTTGGTCAGGTAATTTTTACAGGAGAACAGATATCTAAGAGCTCATCTGGTGATGATAGTTCATCAGATGGACATTCAAAGAAAACAACAAATTGTTCTGATGGCTCTGGTTCTACATCAATTGGTCATGGTTCAGTGGAAAACTGTTCTGATGGAGGGTCTCCTCGGAAGACAGAATACCATAAAAGTGATCTTAGTTTGGAGACTGGTTATTGCAAAGTGTTTATTGATTCAGGGGAGGTGGGGACCCTTGATCTCTCTGTCCTTAGATCATACCAAGAATTGTATGGAAAGCTGGCCAGTATGTTTGGCAAAGAAAGTTCAAAGAAGTTAAGAAATGTGCTCTACCGAGATGCATCAGGTGTTGTCAAACGCACGGGAGACGAGCCATTCTGGTAATCTCACACATGTTTTATTGCCTTGAAATCATTGACTTGAATGCTCATTAATTTTCTAAGCTTTGCATTATGTATATGAGCAATACTTACAATTGTATTGTTTGTTTTGGCAGTGAGTTTTTGAAGACAGCTAAAAGACTTTATATGGCTTGACATCTAAGACGGTGATGCTTCATGTTTGCCTTTGCACCAGTGCACCAATGGATCTTGAAAAAGGCATAGAAGTAATAAACTAAAAACTTCAATGGTAGAATCCATGCTCAAAGATTCAACTTGTAAAGTTGCTTCTTTTTTCTTTTTTAAAAATAATTTTTTATTTATTTTAATCCTTGTTTAGAGTTTCATTTTCTATTGTTTCAAATTTTGGTTAACTCCCACCGTACTAAATTATGTATTGCTTGAGAGCTTAATTTTCTAGCTTTTTGCAATATCTTTACCTAAATAAAGTCACAATTGTGGTGAAAAAATTGCATGTATTATGTCATATTATCTGAAGTCTTTTGATACTTTAGTTAATGCAAATTTTCAACTCATCCTTACATTGAACGAGAAAAGAAACAAGACCTCGAAATAACACATGGAGAGGGTGTAAAATTGTGTGATTGTTTCATTAGTTAGATTATACATAAGAATTCATGGTTTTATCCTTGAAAATGGATATTTATGAAGTAATACTATCATATTATAACACGTAAATTAGTTATATCACGTGATACTATAATGCTGTAATCGTACATTAGTCATATCTTTCAAATTTTAATTTGCAAATGAACATGAAGAGAGAGAAGAAAACTAGTAACCAGTGGCGATTTTAGTTTTTAACTATATTTTCTTATCTATTATCTCATTAAAAGATCTCTAAGGACATATTGTTTAGATGAGTTGAACCACAAATCCATGTTTTGAGGCATTTGAAATCATGAACCTTAAAACGCTCTTGGAGTTTTGATGACCGTTAGCAAGATAAGTTCCAGAATACAACTATTTTGATCTACTATTCTGCCACAAATATAGGTTTTGGGATTTAAACTATTTTACTTAAAAAGCTTGAAATCATAAAAAATCAAACCGACAAAAATTCATGAGATAGGTAACTCCACACCAATATTATTATTTTTCAACTATAAAATTAAGATTGCGAGTTGACGTTTAGCAAATCTCACAAGCTGGACCAACCCAAGAGACAAACCAAATTCATAAAAACTAAAAAGACAGCAAAAGATGGACATATCACACATCATTTCTGCGTGGAATTTGGATCTTCATTTGACAAATGAAGGTTGTGTTTGTCAAATAATGTCAAAAGTCTTATATCGACTATGTTACAAAACAAATTTCAACTTATATTAAAATGTTTCACTTTTAATTACAACGATATTTTGTAATAGCACAATATAAATGTGATTGGTAATAGACCAACCGTCACTCTAAAATCTGAATACATACAACCAAATTTCAAATAAAACAAAATCCAGATTGGTCAACTATAATATTAGACAAAATTGAAATTGGAACTCGTTTTTGTAACCACAATAAGTGGTCCAGCGGTAAGGGAGAAATATGTAAGGTCGTGGGTTTGATGCTACGAGTTGGTGAGTCTGCTTGACTGTGGCCCAGACAGGATGAAATTTTCCCATAACCTCTTTGGGTCCGAAAAGAGTGGATATCGTGGCTTGAAAAGAACTCGTTTTTTGTATAACAAATTTACAACGATGATGTGTTTCTCAATATTATGTGTATATTTTATTGACCAAGATCCAAGATTTCCATAGTTTGCGTCCCTACTCTCCTTATTAGTCAACCGTATCGATCGGATTTCCGACATGAGTTTTTGCAAACAAACTACAACCTGTGTTTCCATTTGAATCTTAATTAATTTTGCCTTTTCTAATCACCTGCACGCATTGCATACATGAGAACATAAAATATAATTAAGTTTAATAACAGAGTTTGAGACATTGATTAATCTCAAAGTCAACACCAAGAACACCACGAAGCAAATGTTGAGGCTGAGCATGTGACATTATGTTTTATTTAGACAGTAAACATGTTACATTCATTTCTAACAACGTGTAGTTGTCGAGTCAACGAAGAAATATGTTTTTTTTTGTATTAATTAATGTACAATGGTTACAATATATAGGGTTGAGTTTACTTGATATACAAGAAACGTTAACTAATAAGGAGAATTCGGAAATGAGAATTATACTCTAATAGTCAAACTAAAGAAACAAAACGGTGAGTATGAAATTACTGGGTTCTTATCATAGTTGCGTAAATTTATTTAATACGTGTTGTTTGTAAGTGATTGCACGTATTCAAAGTTTATTTTGTAATTTTATACACAATAAGATAACGAACCGTAAAAGCTTTCGGACAAGAAAAAACCTATTTGTACAACGTTTATGGATCAAGTTGCTTAGTTGCTACAAGTGAGATTTACGTACGATTTAATCCTAATTCTATCTTAAATCGTTGGGTCAGAAAAAATTAGCCAACAGATGAGCCCATTAGATATTTAGTCCAATTTGTGTAATTGAGCCCATTCTTTCCGTGGACACATTTTCTGGGTTCATCCAACTTTCGTTCCTATCTTCTTCTGTTGATGTCGACCGGCCTAGTTTGGTGGTTTATCTTCCACTCCACATGTGGTCATAAATTGAAACATGATAAAATAATGTTTTATCTAACTTTCGTTCATCAGATTTAAATTCAATACATTTTCTTGTTACTGAGATTTAAACTCAACACATACTCTTAAAAAATGACGTGTTTACTAATTTGAATCGAAAACTGAAACTATTATGTCTTGAATTCTTTTGTGTTTACTAACACATGAGTATTGAAATTATTTTGATTTCTAATTTTCTTTACATTTATCGATACATAAGAAGAGAAAAAAATCGTGATTAAAACATAAACAACAACAAAATTTTATTCCACTAAGTGAGATTGACTGTATATATCTTACAACGCTAGTTTTCATAATTTTATACTGAGTCTTCTGTTAATTTAAAGTACTCCAAACCCAAACGTATAAAAGAAAATGAGAGCTTTGTATGATCATGTCCGTGCTAAAGATTGCCTTTTTTTTGTTGGTCATATGAATAGAAGGTACCAGAAAGAGTGTTAGAACTTGGTAGGTAGTACCGTAGTAGATAGAGTTACTGTTTGTTGATAGTGTTTTTCTTGATTCGCAAATATATTTGAGTGACGGAAACTTGTAGGCAAATAAAATACGTAGAAATAGCCAGGTGTCCGTGGCCTTCAATATTCATCCACCTACCCTCTTCTTCCACCGCCGTCTTCTTCTTGCATCTATCGGCTTCTTCGCCTAACTTTCTCTCCCCAAACGCCGATCGGTTTACAAGATGGAAGGTAAAATTCTGCTTCTTTTTCTGAAATTTGAACTAATATCAATCCTCCTAGCTTTCCCATTAGATAAAGATTTCTTCTTTTTTGTAAGTTGTTATTTGCTCTGTGGATTTGCTTTACGAAAGTGACGATTTTTAATGCATAAGATTGGGTCACTTTGTTCGGGATGTGCGTGATTAGAGAATATAAATTTGGGTTCTTTGTTAATTAATTTAGTTGTCAGCTGATATTTTGAAGTTCAATCCTAGCTGCTGGATTACTGAATACGAAACTGGTGATTATTTTATTTGTATTTTTTAATTTGAATCTTAAGGCGGTTTGGATTAGTGGTGAATGGAATTGTTCTTAATAAGTAGATTATGTTGATGAATGATAACGAAAATACGCATTGAATCGTTGTTTAGATTGTGAACTGTGGTTTGCTGACGACGATATGAGGATTGAATCCTAATTCTGTCTATTATCTGTTATGTGCTTAGTTGATATTATGCAAGTTTTGATCAAGTAGTTATCACATGGTGTGGCATTACTGAAATAAATTTAGATGAAACCCTCTTCTACTCCGAATGTCAGTTCTCCGATGTTGTAATTCGAAATTCCAAAAGATTGCACTCTTCTGTAGAATTGACCCTTCTTATCTCACAAATAATTGTGGTGAAATTTGGAGGTGGATTTCAAGACTCACAAAAACCCGTTGATGAACAAACTCTCTTGATTATATTTTATGACCATGAGATCTGATAAAATTACAAAACTTCTATGCAGCAATGTCAGGGAAGATTGTCCAAAATGTTTCTGTGTCTCAGTGCCACCAACTAAGTAGGAAGTTTGACACCCAATGTAAAAGGGGCAATTTTGCCCCTTTTTTGCGCAACATGCTTCCCTTCCAGCGAGGGAAGTTAGCATGTACTTCCATTCCATCCATGCAATTGCGCAACTTATCAAAACACCAGAGCAGTTGCATAAACCGAAGAACTGTTCAGTGCAACGGTCTGTTCTAGACTCTCATTATCAAGGTCGATATCAGATTTAAAATTAGTGTTCTACACTTCCTTAAAATACGTACTCTTCTATTTCATGCTTGTCATAAATATCTTTTCTTTGGCATGGGCGAGTTTTTATTTGGGTTGTTTGGATGGCTTAGGTTTCAAAATATAAAATTTTGGATCTCTTGTCAACTTATTTATTATGGTCCTACAAACGGTTACCTTTTTTGATAATGTATGATATTCATTTGGGATTTTCTTGCAGCTGCTCCATCTACCGCTGCAGTGCCAAATCTTGACAAAATTGATTTTTCAAAGCTTCAAAATGGCAGGTAACAAATGATGCTACCACAGAGTAGTCTTGTAGTTAAAATGTTTCCAACTTTCTCGGCACATGACAGTTTTTGGAATTATCAATTTGATTTGTTTTTCTTTGTGGTCTGATGTTTACATACACAGTGATATTCGAGGTGTTGCTGTTGCTGGGGTTGAAGGAGAGCCAATCAGTCTGACTGAACCTGTTTCAGAAGCAATAGGAGCTGCTTTTGCTGCATGGTTAGTGGAAAAGAAGAAAGCTGATGGTTCTCAACGTTTGAGAATTTCTGTTGGCCATGACTCTCGAATATCTGCAAAAAAGTTAGAGGTATGTCCTAACTAAATGTCACAGTCTGTTCAAGTATGGTTTTTTTTTTTTTTTTCCTCTGGTTATGCAGTATGTGATATTTTTTGGATTGCTCAGTTAAGTATTATATCTGTCACACTATCTTGAATATGTGTTTACCAAGTAGCTTTTGTCTGCTTCATTTTCTACAATATTTTAGTAATAACTTTGTAAACTTAAACATGGCAACCATTGTTTAAATTGGAAATTCAGAAGAAAACTTAGATGTTGGCAGAGTGGAATTGCAAGTTGATTATAAGTAAGATTCATATGAAAATAAAAATCTCTTTTTTGTTGTGTTCATCATTCTTAGTTGTCTTGTTTGGGTCAAAATGGGAGTAGCACTTAGAATTATTGGATTGGTAGCCTGTCTTACTATATTTAGTTTCTGAAATTTCCAGTGTTGATCAAATATAAGAGAATTATATTTTTTATTAGATACTATACTGTTGTTAGGTGTTAAAGTTAATCTCACACTACCTATTTCAA